TTATCTCTACTCTTACGTTACGTAAACGGTTGCCATTGGTTTATACAGCACTTCCTGTCTTAACGTATGGCCTTACCTTACGTTAACTTTGCAGTGTAAATCCACCTTAAGATGTCTGAGCCATCCACACCATTCCTTTATCTAGATCTTGTACTTTCACTCCTAGAAAGTATTCTACCGGTCCCATATCTTTGACATTGAATTGACTTCTTAACTCATCTTTAACTTCAGTTATCCATTTAGTAGATCTTCCAGCTAATAGTATGTCATCCACATACACAGCAATTATGAAAGGCTCTCCAGTGATAGAAATATATAGACACGGATCACTGTTTGATTGCACAAATCCCATCTTCTTTAGTTGTGAATCTAACGTATAGTTCCAACAACGGGGGGATTGCTTGAGACCATAGATACTGCGTTTTAATCTGCATACTAACTCTTCTTTGCCTTTTTCTTCATATCCTTCAGGCTGTTTCATGTAGACTGTTTCTTTCAGCTCTCCATTTAAAAAGGCAGTTCATCCATCTGATGCAATTGTAGATTATTCTGAGCAGCTAGAGCAGCAATCATCCTGAGAGACTCAAACCTAACAACAGGTGAAATAGTCTCTTTCGTATAGTCAACTCCAGGTCGTTGGGAATAGCCCTGAGCTACCAATCTAGCTTTATATCTATTAATATTTCCAGTAGCTCCAATCTTGCATTTAAAGATCCATTTACTGCTCAGGACTCTTTCATCTTTAGGAAGTTTCACCAGTTCCCATACATCATTAGACATAAGTGAGTTGTACTCTTCATCCATTGCTTTCTTCCATTTCTCATGATTCGAGGAGGTAAGAGCTTCATCAACTGTCTGTGATTCTTGGATATGACTAGCTTGATTTATCCAGACACCATATCAATCAGGTCGCCTAGTTACTCTAGTTGAGTGTCTTATACAGTTGACTCTGGCTCCTGTTCTGTCTCATTCTCTTCTTCTTCAAGGGTTTCATCATTATGAGGAACAGTCTCTTCATTCTCAGTGTTTGGCATCTCAACTTCTGTTGTGCTCTCACCTTCACTAGCATCAATGCCTACATAGGGAGTAGACTCATTCTCTGATCCATTCTGTTTGTAGCCAGCAACTGTCTCATTAAAAATGACATCACGACTATAAATGACTCTCTGCTTTGTAAGTCATACAGGCAATATGCTTTTCTATTATCAGCATAACCTAGTAAGATCAGCTTATGAGACTTCGAATCTAGCTTCTTTTTTTCATCCTTAGCTACATGACTATATGCTGCACAGCCAAATATGCGTAAGTAACTGACACTTGGCTTGATTCCAGTAAGGGCTTCATAAGGAGTCATTCCTTCAACTGCTTTAGTTGGACAGCAATTATGCATATAGACTGCTGTACTAATAGCTTCTGCCCAGAAGGATTGAGGTAGCCTGGACCAGTCTAACATACAACGAACCATTTGAGTGTTCTATTTAAGCATTCTGCCACACCATTTTGCTGTGGGCACTTGGAAACAGTAAATTCATGTTTTATTCCCTGAGAAAGTAGATACTTTTTGAACTCATGTGAGGTGTACTCCCCACCATTATCTGTACGTAGAGCTTTTACGCTCTTCCCAGTAGATTTTTCTACGAAACGCTTCCACTCACAGAATTTATCAAAAACTTCACTCTTATTCTTAATTATATATACCCATACATATCGGGACTTATCATCTGTGAAGATTAAAAAATATTCTCCACCACTGAGCGACTTTGCATTAATCTTGCCACATACATCACTGTGTATTAGTTCTAAGGCTTCTTTGCTTCTTCTCTGAGCATGTGAGGGATACGAATTCTTATGCTGCTTCCCAGCTATGCATGATTCACAAAACTGAATTTCCTTGGTTATCGAAAAATCAAAATCTTTGACTAACTTATCACAAGTAAGCTTCTGTAGATTCTTCATGCTCAAATGCCCATCGATAATGCCACAAATCTTCTCTAGAAAAGTTGGCATTATGTATAGACCCCTTTAGGCGAGAAGTAGCAGCTTGTAAATATCATTAATTTTGCAATGAATATCATTATATCTCAGTTACGGTATACGCCCACATACAATAATTGGCCGCCATTTTTTACGTCAAGCAGCAAGTGCTTTCTGTGTCCTGGAGATCTTGGACACTACATTTTGAAGCTAAAAACTATTCTAGAGTCAAGAAAGATGCCAAGAGAGCCAACCTAGGAAGTATAGTGTAATACTCTTGTTGTATGAGCCTGCTTTCCTCTTTGGGCTGTGACAGAGAGTCAAGAACTGATCGTTCTGGCTCTCCCAGACTTCTTAAGTCTTCAAAATATCTTGCTATAGTAAAGAACAGTTGATATGAAGCCTCTCGTAGTCTTGAGTTCAGCACAACAAAAGTTTTATTGGCAAAACAGCTCTACTTTGCACATCAGCCATTGGAGCTCTGCATAACTTTGACGTAAAACATGGCGGACAAAAATCCGTTCAATATTATTTCTTTGTATATACGGTATCACAAACTAATTCTCGCCTAAAGGGGTCTATAGCTGAATGAACTTCATGAGGCAATATGCTCAATTCATATAGACTTCCAACTCTGGTAGCAACTGAAACTACTTTATTATGAGTATCATGAATCACACAAGTATCATCGTTAAATTTGAATGAGATACCTCGCTTCGTTGCTTTCGACACACTTATTATATTAGGTGAAACTACATTGCACATGTACATGTATGTTTTTATGAATTTACATATAAATTTTGTTTTCTTATTTTCTGTCTAACATACACCTACCAAGTGCATACAGCTTGGTCATATGCCAAAATAAATGTAAGTTAAATTTTTGTGTGATAGTAAAATTTAAGCTTTACAAAAATTATCTGCTCTAAAGTAGTGTCTTTGGCTTCTAGTGTATGTTTATGTATGTTTATGTTTTTGGATGTACATGTATACTGTACATGTATTTTAAAACCTGCAAATTCATTGAAGTGCAAAATTAGACCCAGACAACAAAAACCAATGTAGTATCATGAGTATATTTGCTTTTTTAATGAAAGCAATAATGCAGTACTTTGTAATGCACTCCTGATACCGTACAAAGTGCTTTTTTGGCAGGAGTAATATTTGGCAAATTTGCCTGTGGAAAGAAATTGGCAAATTTTATATTGGCGATTTTGTGCCACATGCCATTGAGCATCTCAGATTGAAACAAAATGGTGGATTTTATATTGGTGATTTCTTCATAGAACCACCAATTGCCAATATCAATTCCCCACCAATAAATCATCTTGTATGGTAGCTGGTATGGTCATGATCATACATTGTATGCATAATGACATGTTTTACACATTATGGTCTATTGTCATTAATTGTAGAATAAGGAGTTATGTGAAGCTGCTGAAAGAGGTGATTCTACTGGTGTCCAGTCTGCACTGTCTCAAGGAGCTAATGTAAACTATCAAAATCCTAAAGAGGTAATTACATCTAATGAAGTACATGTATACATGTATACACTGATAACATATTTGTATAATAAAATAATAATTATGTTATAATTATTTATAGCTAGTTAGCTTGTTGATCTTGTATTGTTATACATGTATATGTACATGTATGTACATTTGTATGAACATGGCAGTCTGATATACATGTACATGTAATGCAGACTATATAGTATGCTGCAACATACATGTAGAAACATTGTTTTTGTTTCCTAAAACTCTATCAAGCTTCTTCATTTTGTTCTTGTACAAAAAGGCATAAGTATAAATGTACATGTGGGTTATGCAACAAGGTGGAGAATTGGAGATACATGTATCTATAGCATACTGAGGGCTTTTAGTCCCAAGGTTGATAAGGCCATAGATACAGACACAGGGTTGTACAGTCAAACCTGTATATTTTAGACTTCTTGGGACCTAATAATACATGTATTGTCTTCATTATGGAAGTGTCCTTATTTCAGTGGTAGGCCCACTGAGAGAGGGGGCAGAGGGAAAAATTCCCAGGAGCCCCAACATTGTCAGGTTCCCAAATAGTAAATTAGGGCCTACAAACTGCATCACAGAGCATTTTTGGGCAACATAATGCAATTGGTATTGTGACAGACTTACATGTATTATTTATGTACATTGTAGGATGGAACTACTGCTCTTAGTATAGCAGCAGAGAGAGGACATTTGGACATTGTACAATTGCTGTTGAATGATGGAGCTGATAAAAGCACTGCAAATTTTGTGAGTATAGCTATGTGTACATGTACATGTACATGTACTTGTCTTTATTTTGCAGTCTTAGAGCTTCAAATGTTTTTGTGTTAACTATTACTTAAAGCTTTAATTATTACACACAGTTAAAGTGTGCTTACATATATTTTCTTTTAAAGGTTGAGATTTTTTATTTGATTACTTGTACTAAGCATTAGTATTATTTTGTATAAAGGGTTAGCAGAATATAGATGAAAGTAGCATTTACAACAAGTATTTAAGATAAATCCTAACAGTTGATGTTTCAAATGCTGTATTGTTAATAATAACAGTTCTATTAAGAGTTACTTTTATTTTTATGCATGTATTTTTTTAGGCAGGAGAAACTGCTCTAGTTGCAGCCGTAAGAGAAGGACATGAAAAGGTTGCGCTGTTATTAAGTGAAGAAGCTGATCCAAATATTGCAACTCATGTGAGTTTAATACATTACATGTACATGTACATGTAATTACAGCATGTTAATGTCAGTTTAGGCCATGCATGCTTACATAGTGCCATATTAAATTTATGTCCTTGATTTGTGTCTTTCAGCAGGGATATTTCTTGTTTTATTATGAATAATGGAAGTAGTTTAATTGTGATTTTCTGCCAGTGTACAATGCAATATGGCTTTTCTATGTTTATGATGATTTTACATATTTCTTGTGTTTTTACATTGTATGCTCTATTATAATTTATTGTAGAATAAGGAGTTATATGAAGCTGCTGCTAGAGGTGATTCTACTGGTGTCCAGTCTGCACTGTCTCAAGGAGCTAAGTAAACTATCAGAATC